CTTATCATTACCATACAAGATTACGCCGCACGCATGTTTCGAGGATATCTGCCAAAACTCATCTTAGCCATTAATTAATTTCGTTACGGCTGTTACTAGCGGATACTGCATAACCTAATGTATTAATGGAGTCGTTGGATGTAAATAATAATCGTATTTGACGTTCCCTAGGTACATGCATAGCTTACAAGAAACGAGCTGCAGATGAGTAAAATGCCATTATCATATGTGGTCCGAACCTAATTAATTTCTGTAACAGTGATGGCCAATCCTGCGCAAAAGTCAATAAAATCCATTATGTTCAAAATGTCAGATGTTAGTATTTACACCCGAATGCCTCAGTCATACTTCATTATGATTTTATCGTTAAAGAACTGAATTCTATTTTGAAAATGAAGTTCAAATACAATACTTACTCCAGAAACCGTTACTGAATCTGCCCATTTATTTTGATACTATGGATCACAGCCTGGTTCGGGGCGTTGAACGTCGGCTTCGTGGTTAAGATTATAAGAACAGAAGATTATAGGAACGCACCGCAATGGGCCAGGCTGCGAGCACAGTATCGAGAAATAGTTCTCGACTGGTAGCTCCATACATCACCTAAGTGTTGCTCGTGACAACGGCTAACACAACATATTTGCCATATCTTGGAACGCAAAAGGGACATTCATCCCGGCGGAATCGAATGGAAACGGACGTACGCAACCTATAATCCAATACTAGCCTGCGTTGCAAATTATTAAATTACCTGCTTTTATTCATATTTATCAAATGAGGCAAAGTGAATAATTAAAAAATATCATACGAACGATAGTTGTTAATAAACTTAGAAAGAGCGTCCAAATACCTGGACGTATAAAACCATTATTGCTGCGAAACAATGCTCCCTCGTCATTACTAGTGCCGAACCAAACGGGAAAGGACATTCGGAAACACAAAGGGAAGAAGCCTGGCGCGTCTATCAGTCGCTCCGCAGGGGGCCTGTCCGTTCTGACGCGCTTCCGCTGGGCGCAGGCCGAAAACGACAGTCAGCGACTCGTGCACATTCTTTCAGTCTCGAGTTCCCGACGGAAAAGCACTGCAAAGCCAGAAACAGACTCCCTGCCATTGGAAGGACGAGGAAGCGCGCGTAATTGAAACCACTGTTACGCACTGCGCAAAAGCTGTCTGGCTACTTCCCTTCTGGACATTTACCGCAAATACGTCACCAGGTTTATTTTAGATCTGTTTGGCTGCTAGTTGCCTTTAAAATGAGTTCTCAATAGTGAGCAAACCCTTATTTTTTAAAATATTTTTTATGAATTCGTTCTTCTGATGGTTAATATGTCCTACCTTAAATTTCCTTGGAAGGAATTATCGCAAAAGTAATCGTTTTATTCCTAATGTTATTGCATACTTTTTTCGTGCCCTCTGGTCCGCAAATGCTGCCCACTAAGACAAGGTAAATGCGATTGCGAGTGATGTTCTTCAGTAAGGAACATGAGATAAACGATCGCAATTTCGACCATTTGATCTAGAACTGCCTTGAGGTTAATCCAGGTTACCGTTATTTCATCAAGTACAAACTGTTTCCAGCGACATGGTAAGTGATTAAATACTTGAGTGTCCGCGAGTCGCCACATCCTAGGCAAAGGTGACGTTTCGGCCGCCATCTGCAACCTTCCTCACTGTCAGGATGAAATTCCGGCCGAAACGTTGGCACCAGTGTCTAAGATGTGTCGTCTCCCTGACAGCTAAGTATTTACTGACTCCGACTACGGGAAGCCTACGTTCTTGGTAAGGGTATTTTGTGTTAGAAAACGGTGGAAGTTCAAAAATTGATATTACTGTACGTCGGAGGAAGGCTATTATCCGGCAAGGTAGTATTCGTTTCGACAACTAAGTTAACGGTAAAACTCAGCAAAATCCACGAAGTGAGTATGGTGTAGCACAAGAATAGTCATGAGGAATCGTATGTATGACCCTTCTTCGCATTCTAGGAATCAAAGTTTAACCTCACAACCAACGCACTGTTGTTCAACCTCATCGTCGATTCAGTGCACTTCTTTCTGCCATAAAACAGCGCAGAGTGCGAAGTTGGCTAGCAAAGTTCGCATTTATTACAAATCAAGAGGCAATACAAGCAACAATTCAGCATCTGCGCACTATCAGCAATGATTCCAGGATGATGTTGTAGCGTTTATTACTCACAGGAAACACTTTTCCGATATATTAATGGTTGGCCCAAATACCTGTACTTTTATAATAATAATAATAATAATAATAATAATAATCATTATTGTCTTTTTTATTATTAACAATGAGATCTTTCAATTTGTGGAATTAGAAATAGAATCGGAACTTCAGAAATACTACATACATTCAATGCAATTCCCAACCCGCCCGCCAGTATTTTAAAAGGCATTGTTTTAAAACATAGAAAATTAAAAAGAACTGAGACGGACGAACCATTTTCCATTTATCGTATCTTAGAGCACCCTCAAAATGATATAACAGTGTTCGCGAATGTCAATGAGGAAATCTGCAGAAGTAAAGTCCTTCAGAAACATTTTCTTGGCCACGTGATTTGCAGCAGCCACCGAGATACTAAACATGCAATATCACAAGATCAGAATACGGTCAATAGAGGTCTCTTGGAGGCCACATTTCCAATATGAAATACACTTGCACGGGTTATAATGGTTGACTCCAACAAGGATCAAAGGTTACATCACATCTATTTGCCCCAGTTCGGATGTATTCGGAAGTTAATAAGCTATTTGCCAAACAGATAAGATTAATTTTTATAATGAGCACGAGTTTGGCATTAAGCCTATCAGATGGCACTAGCCGTCGATTTTCTAAATGAAATTTTTCCCAGTCTTCCAATGAGTGGGAGCTTCAAAAATAAATTTCCATTACCAATTCTTATATATTCAGGGGAAAATACTCGGATTAATATGTGTCTATTTCGTGGTATAATATTCCAATACTCATTCATGAACAGCAGGGAACCCTGATAGAAGTCCTCGTATGTCTAGATAAGATGCGCAATCCGAATACTCCCGCGCAAAGACACAACAAATGGCCAGTTCATAAAAACCGATTATATAAAGCTGCTGTATCATTTATGATTATACATATAATTATTTTTTCTCACACTACCAAAATTCAAGAATATTATTCATATTCGTGTTGATAAATGAAAACTATCCGATCCAAATATACATTGACTTCTACCTTCAAACAGAATTCGTAAAAAATACATAAATTTTAAAATCTCGATTTTTCATTACTTTGTCCCCAATGAAATTTGTAATGGTAAGTAATACTTTTCTTAAAATTGGCAAAAGATTGTCTTGTACTTTCAAAGCTCAATCACGGAGTGGTACAACTCCTTAAGTCAACCAAGGGGTACGTTTTCTTTATGTTACATACGCCAACTAAAATATCGAAAATACAATTTATACAGTATAATTGTATATACAGTATAAGATAAAATTAGATACAAATGATACACGTCGCAGACTTGTAGATGCTAACGTTCTCTCATTCTTTAAGCCACGCTAGAATAAAATAAATAAATAGTACTGTAGTGAAATGCTCGCGGGTGACTGTTCCCGGGAGACAGGATGTGCCCAACGCAGCCACACATTGCATGATCTGGCCGCCGCCACCTACGGAGACAGCATCTCTTAAATTGCATGAAAAGATTTCTACTTTGTCAGAAAACTAGACGCCCAGTAACCACCGCTTATGAGGCGTCTAGTAGCCAAATTCTGTGAATTCTTTGATTTCTGGGTCTTTTCGTAACACCAGAAAGGATTTATTAGTAGAAAACAAAACAGTTTTTTTCACTTAATCCGGTCTCATTACTCAACGATGATTCTAATTGAACCGAAAGCTCTGTTGCCACACAAATGAGAAAATAACGCTCTGTTTAGTTCACAGCGTTGATAGATTACTGTTTATATTGCATCTTATTATTATATCATATTGCATCTTATATATTTCAGCATTTTATAAACTTAAATAATAATTTTAAAAAAATTGCAAAGAATATAATAATTTCAACTAGTAATATGAAAAGTTCGAAATTTGATCATAATTAATAAGACGTCCGCCAAGAAGAAACTGTGGCAAACTATTTTGTAAACAAAATCAGAAACTTTTAAGGACGATGCTTCAGAAAAAGCTTTCACTAGTAGAAATAACGCTTGAAAGATAAATAAAAAGTTGACATGTATTGGGAAAGGTAACATAAGTTTTTATGAACTCAAGTTCACGCTTTATTAAATTATGAATCTAAAGCTCATAACGTGAGTTAATTAATACACACACACAATAAAGGATGAAAGAGAGGGAGGGAGAGAGGCAAAAAGCGAGGGAGAGAGAGGGTGAAAGAGAGTGTGGAAGGGAGGGGGAGAGGGAGAAAGTGGAAAAGGGAAATCGAGAGCACCGTAGGAAATTCTATTTTGGGGTCCAATGCGTGTGTCACGAGGGCGGAAAGATCGTTAACAATTTCCTGTGGCCGAGGCACTAACCGGTCCTAATCGGGCGGCCGGACCTTGTAAGCGGCGAGAACGGGGCGGGGCGGGGTGGGGCGGCGGGCAGTAATGGCGCGGTTCGCATGCGCCGCCGAGCTTCCTGCCGGAGGCGCCGGCTAAACTTAGTCGCATGACGCCTGGGGCGCAAACAATGGACCGCCGGCGGCGGCGCGCGGGCCCGCACGCGCCTGCGCCGCTGGGGGCGTGGCACGCGGCACGGCCACCCGCCCTCCGAGCCAGGCAGGGGCCGAGCAACGACCTAGCTGGCCTCTTACTACCCTGCGAACCATCGTTTAAATCTTACGCAGCCTCTTCAGAATTATTGGGCGTGCGTAAACGTTTGTGTGTGTGTGTGTCTGTTAGAGAGAGAGAGAGAGAGAGAGAGAGAAAGGGGGAGAGAGAGATAAAGGGAGAGAGATAAAGGGAGAGAAAGAACGAACGAAAGAAAGAAGGAAATAGGGGGGTTTGAAGATGAGAAGGGAGAGAGAGAAAGAGAGAGAAAGAAAGAACGAAAGAAAGAAAGAAAGAACGAAAGAAAGAAAGAAAGAACGAAAGAAAGAAAGAAAGAACGAAAGAAAGAAGGAAGGAACGAGGGGGGTTTGAAGATGTTTGGGGACACATTTGAATTTGATAGAGTTTCAAAGTTTCCTTGTATCATTATCAAACGGATCATTATCAATACGAACTCATTACATTTATGTTATTGTGTAGATATTACGCCTCCATAAAAGGCATTTCATTTTGAACAATTTCCATTTTCTTCAAAAATAAAAATATGTTCATCTTCTCCCTCAGGCATTAGACCTGTTGGTCTGTAGCGTCTCGTTGATCACTGCATAGCAGAAATGCTCGTGAGTGTGATGCCAAGCTACGAGATGCATTGGGTAATAGGGCATTGCCCTATTGAATTGTTGCACGTTGGGTGGTGGCCTTCAAATGTAGACGCGTAGCAACTGACCTGGGGCGTCTGTTCACACAGTGGTGCAAGTGGCTGTTATCGAACATTGTTTAGCAAATGAAAGGTGTTGGACTGTGGCTGAATTAGATGCATACTGGTAATACTGCATCAACAGTGTTCCGCATTTTACGTAATAACGTAAAGATACGCGAGGTTTGTGCAAAGTGGGTTACACGTTAACTGAGGTACAAAATGGATTCGGTAAGACACATTCCGTAATAATCTGGAGCGATTCCAACATGAAGGAAATAAGATGTTGAATCGCATAATTGCAACTGATGAAACGTGGGCCCGAGCGTATGAACCGTAACTAAAGAGGCAATCAAATGAATGTCGTCGTCGTGGTGAACCACGAAAAAAGTTTCGATAGTATCCATCACCCACGACGGTCATGCTCCTTTTGGTCAAGGTATTCTCGAGTGTCATCCTGTTCGTGAGGGCTAAATTGTCACTGGCACATACTACAGATTGTTCCGGCTGCACACTCTGTGTCGTACACTGCGGAGGAAAGTCCAGGGCTTCTCAACAATGCAATACTCTTCCATGATAATGCAACAAGCCACACCGTGTGTCCAGAACCTGGTGCGGTGACGGGGGTGGGATATCTTTGAACACCCTCCATACTCCCCTGATCTCCGTGCGACCTCTCATCTCATCCCAAACACGAAGACGCCGCTGCGTGGGTAGCAGTGTGCAAACGAGGAGGGCATCCTAACAGCGCATCCACGCGCAAAGACGCATCTCAGCCAGCTGATGGTATTCAGCGCCTTCCTCATCGTTGGCAAGATGTGTCGACGCCTTGGAGGATTATTGTGACGGCTGTCAGCTCATTGGATGCGAGTATTATGCGTACTGCTTTGTTTTGTGCACATGTAATACGAATAAAACATTGATCTCTATTTACGGATCTTTCATTGTCATTACCCAAAGCGCCTTGTACCCGGATTCCTATTCAGTACCAGCATTACGAAAAACATTCCAGCGACTTTCCATAATATATCCTGATTTTTGTTCCCTGCAACTTTACAATTTAGTTACATTTTTTAAGCCCATAAAAACTACAATTCTAATTTTTTGTACTTCGTAAAGTCCTAGGCCGAAATTTTCCATCTACTAAGTCATTTAATTACTTCGCGATTTAATTATTTATTTACTTACGTGTTGTTACAGTATGAATCGCTTCCACTCTTTGCAGAAGGTTCACAAGCAGAAATATTACGTACGATCACAATTTTTTTCCCTTTGTTTTTTTTTAATTCTAGAGTTCCTTTTCTATCTTAATCAGAATTCTACAAAGATTAAATAGTTATCACCATAACATACTTTGGAAAATAAAACAACAATGCAGATGACCTTTCATTCCAATACACACCACTAATATGTGGATAATAGCTCCCACTTTCTCGTAGAACAAAAGCCGACAAACACAAGAAAAGTAACTCTGTTCGCGTCAAAAAAAACTGAAAATTACAATATCCGTGGAATAAAGATGAATCTCCATACCAAGTCTAGATCAAAAAATTATTAGTGGGAAACCGCAAAATTTCCCATTTACAAACCAAAAAAATATAGCGGGTAGCAATACAATATTATTCACAAGCAATAAATATTAGAAAGTCATGAGTTGACGTGCCATTTCACCATAACCAGCCCAAAAGAGGATATCTAAGGATTCACGACTTGCCAACAAGTCACATATTTATTGACATATGTTGCTCTTGCTTTCAGAGACATGACTGATGTCCCTCACACAGTCATTGAAGATCACAGATTTCTTGAAATTGAAAATAGCATCTGATAACATATATTTTAATTCTTCTACATGCATTACATGCTGCCACAATAATGTAAACTGAGTGAAAAGCAGTATAACAGAAGCTTTTTTAATTACGAATAAATAACTACCACTTTTTTTCTCTGGAAACTTCCCGTTTGACATAAGGATTGGCTCACTTGTCCATTATATGTCAATATCATTTGTCATTTCATTGTTCATCAAAATGACAAGGTTTCACTCTATTTTGCTCCAAATAAAAAATACCAGGCGGCTAACCACAGTCCTCGCCGTGACTTCCGCAACAGCCGCGCCACCATTATCTCGGATGACGGAGACAAACGAAACTCGCACTTGGAGCAAGCAAGCACGTCATGGAAAAAAGATCACTCTTCGAGGACGCTGACGAAAGTTAAGAAGAGAACGACAGGCTTATGTTGTATCCATAATTCCGGGTCAGTTACTAGAGTGATATCTCGTCCTTGCAAGTCCAAGTGCACAGGATTAAGGAGAGCAGCAGCAAAACTCTCGCCGCCAGCAATTACCATTTCCCCTTGAGAGATCCAATTGACTCAGGGATCATCATCAGCTTATCACCAAGTAATTTGTTTGCTTTGGCAAAAGACATTTGTAACTGTCAAAACGTCCACCTATAAAATGTTGAAATGTATTAGAGCAAATCTAAAATACAATTTAAAGATATCAACAAAATTAACACTGTCTCGTTGAACTGAAATTTAATTTTCTTACTTTGGACTCCAATAATTCGGCCAGAAAAATCAGCTTAGAAACTTGGCATATTGATGAACTTCACTGGTTCAGATTTGAGAATAAATAAAACAGATTAATTGGAAATCCCGCTGAGGATTTCCTACAAACTTATCATGGAAAACAGCAGAATGGGAGATATAAAGATGAAATCTCTTCCAAGATCTTTTGTTCAACATTACGCAGTTCTTGTCAGCAAGGATAGTTCCAGGCCTAGGATCCCTAGGTAACAAAATCTCTGGAGTTCCTCCTTTTTATTAATTGAACAAGAAGCGGATGAAGACCAGAATGAGAAATGAAGTTATAGTTCATTTCCCGCAGGTTTAAATAATATGTCATTTCACATTTTAAATAATTTGACATTAACTGTAAATTTTATCAATGTTATTTGGTTAAGGGAAAGAAGTTTCCTTCGGTGTGTATCATACCATGATTGGTTAACCTCTCTTTGGCACTTCCTCATTATAACTCTCATAAAGTTGATATGTGCGCAAATACAACAGAGTTAAAACGCAGTTCTTCAGAGTTTTAACTCTGGTCATCCCTGCGTTTTCTTCGAACGGGATATCCTCTTATGATGGTGTTTCAGAGAAATGAGTTACAAATGTAAGTAGTTACAAATGTAATATTTCATTACATGTTAATATTTTTTCGTAATACTGTCCTGTATCTGCATAACGCAAACCAACAGAAAAATGAAAAAGTAATCATAATCGCGGCCGGCCGTTAAGAAATTAACGTTGAAGGAGCCACCCGATCTTCAAACTATTTATTATATCTCGAAAACAGATGATACACAACACAAGTAACTTACACACAACGTAAATAACACTTACAAAAGTAATTTTCAGCTGGACAATTACTGTATTCTTATATTTAACTTATAATTTCTCATTATAGTAAATCTGAATACTGAATGAACTATTATTATTATTACTATTATTACTATTATTATTATTATTATTGCTAATTTCTGTACTTCGTAAGACGCCGACACTCTCGAATCTCTTGATGTTAATGCAACCTCGTCGGTGCCGAATAAGTGTTTAGAAATTTTAATATTTTTCGATACCGATTATTTAATATATTTTCCTACTACTGACGAGGGCTTCGAATCTCCAAGATTTTTCAACGAGTGGAGATTGCCTTTAATTACGACTAGCATTAAGGTCCATTATCGCTGAAAACAATACCCGTGTAGAGCTCAAGAGAGTCTAATTTTAAAAATTTCGCTATGTTTTTTTGGAGTATCTTCTATTGTGTGTATACCCACAACCTCTTTAGTGCATTTCACATTTTTATAATCCATAAAAAAGCGTCTAATTTCAAAGTTAAGTGGTTAAGTTAGCATAGTTTTTATACAATTCATATGCATTGAATGGAAGGCCGTCTTTGGGTATTACATTTTTTTTCTGCAATTCAGTGTAACCATTGTGGGCTACCATTAATAAAATGAAGATAAATGCTGTAAAAAGTAAATCACTAAGCTTTTCGAAATCAGCAAAGAAGGTTTCTTTAGAATACCAAATGGGAAGGCGTATTCATTCCACAAGTATCGTGTGTAAGTATCTGGGTGTCCATATTACGCCAAACTTGGGATGGGGGAACACGTTACTTCTATTGCCCGAAAAGCGTGGAAGTCATTACAATTTTAATGCGAACACTTAAAAAGGGAAACATGAGAGTCCAAAAATTAGATACACATCTTTAGTTAGGCGATTCTGAATACGCATCGCTGGATGGATCCATACAGATTAGTCAGATTGAAGAGTTAGAAAAAAATCAAAAGAAAGCAATCAAATTCATAAAATAAGGATCTTCGAGTAGTTCAAATTCACCAAAACATATAGAGGCCCTCAGGTACGAAGAAAAAAAGCCAGATTGTCGCTGCCTCTTCAAGGCGTACAGTAAGTCACCTGCATGGGGCAGAAATAACGAAAAGACTAGACTCCCCTCCAAGAGTGGGAGAAACGATCACAAAATGCAAAATAAAAAGTAGATGTCAGAAGATTCGACGTAGGGAAATTCATTTGTAAATCGTACGGTTAACAAATTGGAATGAAATCCCTGCAGCGGTCGTAGAGCCTTTTCCTGGCTCTGTTGGGTGTTTTAAGAAGACTTAATAAGTACTTGTAGCTGTATTTTACCGCTCAGAAATACACAATTTGTAGATTATTATAGATAAAGTGTAGTGTAGTTCAGTGCAGTGGAAAGCTACTTTAATTAGTTATATGGCGTAACCAAAGAAAGATGTAGTGAAAGTGTAGTGTAGGTAGTGTAGTGTAGTGTAATGTAGTGAAGTGAAGTGAAGTGCGACAGTAGGTGGGGAGCAAACCTAAATGCTTAAAGAGCTAACTTTAAAAATCCACATTGTGTTTATATTTAAAAAACAAATTGTGTAACTGGTTAATTTTATGTATATGTATATATGTGCATGTTTACTAGGTGTAACTAAATATACGTTCTTCATTTAAATGTAAGCATGTATAATATGTAGGGCAAGTGTGTGTGTGTGTGTATATATATGTGTGTGTGTGTGTGTGTGTGTGTGTGTGGTATGGTGTATATATGTGCCATAGATGTATACAGGTCTGTGTATGTTTTATATATTGAGTGTATATGCTCGAAAGAAGTGTATTGTAAATGTTTTTATATGGTAAATTGTTTTTGTATTATAAATGTCATATTTGTAAAACTGTAGGGTTGTGGCTACCACCTGGCAATCAGCCAATTGTAGCCAAATAAATATTATTAAGTAGCACTCCGCTGTTTGTGTTTTCTACATCATCAATAGTCAATAACACAGGTTCGTCTCGTCGATACGCCCTAAAAATACAAAAACTTACAATAACCTTTTTAAGTGGCTGTTACTTCTAGGAGAAATTTCTGATATGTTCTTACCATAAAAGCTTGGCTTCCTGTCGCGTTTGATGCAACAGTCGCATCGATTTGAAATGGAAGATGGCGTAGCCCTCCTACGTATTAAAAGCACAGGTGTTTCTTAATTATATTTTTTTTTCTTATAAGAAGATGGTATTACAAAAAGTATTGAACGACACCCGATCAATATTACACTCTGTCATCGCCTCGGTTCACACAGTTCAACCGTTCGTGTCGGCCTACAGCCGTTAATAACTATTTTAAACTAGTTTACAGTGATTACAACTTTTGCCTTGGTAACATTTCAATTTTGATAATTTTAACTTGAATAAAAAAATCAACTAGTTATCAATTTTATTTTGATACAGCAAAAAACAATCAAAAATATTGTTAAAATAAAATGAATAATGATTCGTTGATAATTGGGGATATTGTTTAGAATTAATTTATTGACCAACACATACGTCTGTAAACAATTTTCTAAGCTGGTATCTTGTACACCAATTGACTTCGGTTGCATATTGCAGCAATTGCAATCGGCAACATTCTTCTCCATTCACCAGCGTTATTGCCAGTACTTTTTCGAATGTCCCAGGTTATACTGATTTTTAAGAGATTGAAAATTGTATCAAATGACTCATATACGCTTGATTAATTACTGCTCCCGGGCGCGTCAAATCAAATCCACAGCCATTATCAAATTTCCCGTCGTTAGCGAGGAAAGTGTAGTGCTCGTTTTCATCGCGGGAGATTGCGGAGATCTCCCCAGCTGGAGGCGAGATTCGGCGCCGACCGACTCGTCGGCTGGCGCGGTCTTCCCAAATCAGATACTCGTACCTCTTGCCAGCGGAGCACCGCCCCGGCCGGGACAAGCTCCAAGCAACTCTCCCGACACGTGCGGTAGTGTAGGGCATGGAAGTGTGTGTGTAAGGGTTAAGGATAGGAAAAGGAAGAGCAAAGAAAGATCGCGCGCGGGCCGTATGTTAGGATTCACCTTGTGTTGAGTGAAGAAAACACGGAAAACGACCCGATCAGAGCACCCGGCCGCTACAAATCTCCTGGAAACAGCGGCTGAATTCGACCTAGGTCTGATGACACCTGCGCCACTACTCAAAGCGTCCCTTGGGCAAAAAATTAAAGAAACATTTTGGAAAGGTTTCTGAATTTTTTTATAAGTTGCATTAACTGCAAGACGAACTATTCTTTTTTTTTTTTTTTTTTTTTCAAAAAACTGTACATGGCATTTATTGAAGTTCCAATTAATTGAGGCTTCCTGTAAAATTAAAATATCCATTTCAAATTCGCAGGGCCTCCAGTTCGTTTAAATTCATCGGGGAATATCAATTTTGGAGAAAATGCTGAACGGTGCAGGCGCTATTATGACTACAGACAGACAGACAGATAGATGGATAAAGAGAAAGATAGATGGAGACGGTCGGTCGATCGTCCGGACGGACAGACAGGTGGTGAGACAGACGGACAGACAGACGGACGACAGACAGACTGACAAGACACGGACAGACAAGACAGACGGTTTTACCGGAGATCCTTAAATCATGGATTCTGACATCACAAGTTAAAAGAAGTAATTTCCTACATTTAGAAACAAGATTTATTCATTTCTTCGTTTCAAAACTCGAATTTTCTGCCGAAAAATTGCTGTTTTCCGGCGCACAATTACAATTCAATCTTCTTTTAATGCAATCTTCTAACGACAGTTAGCGAGAAATTACCAATTGGCTGTCCTGTTCACACAATAGACAGGGAACTCTACTCCGCGGTATGGCTTACACAGTGTTGTTTGCAGTAGTCGCGTTCTGCTGGTCCCCGGCCGTGCCGTGGTTCCCGACCCTAAATACAGCGCCCGGACGGCGGAAAAGTACGGCGCCGTAGCAGGGGGGGGGTCTCGTTAACGAAACGACGTTGCTTTTCGCATTATCACCTAATTATAGAACTCGTCACTTCAAAGCTGAGTACATTGCAACTATTTTTGGATCCAAGATCCTGTTAAGAGAGAAGAGAAACGAAAAAAACTAATTTTAGTTGAAATGATATTTCTTCGCAGTAACAATGAGGAGGGTCTGAAAACAATATTCTGAATAGGACCCAACATTAATATGACGCTGCAAACTGTTTTAATTTTTTTCATGTGATGAAAATGTCTAAATATCATGCATAGCTTTATTCAAATACGTTCTAACAGCCTTTGGCATTGGACATACCAATGAATCGTAGTACCTAATGTTGTTATACTCCTGTTCAAAAATTCCCAAAACCATGGCCTTGCATGTTACCTCTGTACGGGATATCAATTAGTAATATTGCATCATAATATTGCAGTACTGTAACATTACATAGTTCCGAAAATTCTGTCACAAAATCTTCTATAATTACATTTGATTCTTCCCCTGCATTTGCACGCAAACTCCATTCATACGTTCAAAGCAGCTTCACTATTGGCAGTTCTGCCGCGTATTTCACACGTGCAAGAACAATCTGTGTCACTATCCTCGTAGAAGAAAATTTTGGCATCTTGGAGCGAAAATTGCCTCTGGGTACTGGAGTTTAATCAACGCCATCTATACAGATCTATTTAGGTGGCACTGGTTTAATTCTCCGACTACCCACTAAGATTGCAGTGCTAAAACAAGCAAAAAACAGTTTGGGGAATTTCTTTAAATCATCTGGTCGGATCCGAAAACAGATTATCAGTTCTCCACAAAGAGACCGAAACGCGTCGAATGATACCTCATGTATCTCGATTGGTGCCCGGAAGTGGTCTTGAGTGACGGATCCACTATCACGCACAAAACGCACGTTACTCAAATGCTACATAGGGATATTGTTTTACAGTCGAATAATAGTTTCTTTGTATGCTTGAATTCCATGTCAATGGATTTAAATATCTTCTAACCGTCCTATAACTAATTGTTTTGTTCAGGACATCTTTGCTATCATGACAATCACTTGTTAAAGTTACATCCAAATAGTTGAATTCCTTTTCACATTTAATTATGCCCCTATTTGTTAACATGACCTGACCATTGCTCCCACTACGACATAATTTGTTTTTGATATGTTAACGTCAGGTTTCCACTAAGAAAAGAAAAATACATGGAAAGGAAATATTCTGAAAGAATTAGAGTAAAAGAATATAAAAAATCACAGATGAAATAAAATCTCTCTAGTCTGGCTATTTAAAGAGCAACCTTGGAAATACGTTAGGGAGGAAGTGATACACAGGGAAATGTGTGTTCGTTTACTATAAATCATTATTTTACTTAAAATTAGATGCATGTAATTATTAACTTTGTACTGTCCTGTATACGCCCGCCCGCCCATTCGCCCGCTTAAGTCCGAAAATTTTTTAAAAAAATTGATTGTTTTTCGATGTCTTCCTACAACTACAAACTTAAAGCTGGAGACTTTTCCATCAAATGAAATTTGTTGCCTCTAATTATTTCTTTCATTTCATCGGTCATGTATTCTGGTCTCTCATGTCCTTAATATTTGTATTAGCGGCAATTTGTTTTCATTTATTTATGAGTGTATGTGTTTTAAATAATGTCATTTTCATACACGATTAAACGCCTTTTTCTTAAAAAACGGCTCCAAATTTTTCTTCAAACTTTTCTAAGAGATATTGCTAACTGCACTATTTAATATTGCGTAAAGTTAATATTGGGGTAGTTTTGTTTTTCTAAAAATATATAAATGTAATTTTTTGAAAATATGTCACGACGTTAATATGCACATTTCCACCAATTTGTAAACACTATTGTATTTGAGTTAATGTGCGTTAAATGGCTTCTAATAAAGTTTTTCGAAAACTCAAAAATTTTCTGTGAAAAAGAGCTTTAAATTTAGAATTTTCAGTAGCACTCAAATGCCATGTCCAAAAAAAAAAGTCTCTACATTTTTCAAAGAGAATGGCCATTTAGGACGATGTTTCATTGTTCTAAAATATTTATAAAATAATGTTTCCGTTCTGCTATTTAGAAACAGAAAAATAAAGAATATTTCAAAAAATGTAGTTTGGGCGGCGATAGATGGCTGCTGGCAAAATATGTGGCAAGTTCGTATAGCTACTCCAGACCAAAGGAATATAAAACTAATACGGGAAAGTTTGTGCCATTCTGTAACACCACTAGTTACTTTATAGAATAAAATGTTACATTTTTCATATTTTTTATAATTCTTCGAAATTTTCCTGTAAACAACTTTTTGAGACAATTCTCAACGTCATTAAAGTACCCCGGAAATCAAATCTCTGGAATCAAGATAAATATAAAATCATATCTATGTAAATATGACTCCAAAACTAATAAATATGACTGAAATAGATCTCCTAAACTAAATATCCTCTTTTACAAACTCGGGAGGCAAAACTATGTTCTGAATGAAATAATTTCACACTGCTTTCAGGAGAGCATTTTGTTGATCAAACACCTGAACTCACCTTTTCGTATTGGTGCACTCCACGTGATAGTTTACTATTGTAAACGAAGTAAAAACAACCGCAACTCACCTGCAATACCAAAAACGATAATTAGATATAAGACTTTACTTTTGATTTATTTACGTCAAAAACAGTTAAAAACTGTGTGACGTACTATGGGGAGAAGTTAATTTGAAGTTACATATAGTATGTCCAGAAGCAAAACAAGGGACCATCTCAGCATTTACACGAGGATCAGGGAAACTGGACGAAAACCTGATCGAGATGGGTGTCACGGACCCAGAAGCTGAAGTACAATACTTGTTACAGGTTCTTTAGAATTATACAATCCAAATGATATATAATACATTAAATGTCATTGTTAAAATTAATATTACATTCCTTTTGGATGCTCGGTATTGTCTCTAATTGTATAGAAACAGTTGTGCAGCAGAAAATATTTTACTTGGGGCTTCAACTTTTGTATCGAATTTAATCGTTAAATGTCATCTGGCAACTTGAACTTGTTTTCACGTCCTAACTAAATGATAATGGACCATGTAGTTGAATAATTTAACAGTCTTGTTAAACACATTATATGCTTTTACATAACAACTATTATCATTTTGTAGTTTTATGAAGCAAATATGAAAGTAATTCAATTGTCTGAAAAGATTAAAATCAAATTGTGTTTCAAATAGTAACGATCTGCTTCATAATTAAAATTCCTAATAATGTAGCATATTTTATGGCTTTAATAAAATCTAAATTTAAAAATATGACGAGTGACATGGACTCTGATATGTACCAATATCATACTGTGGAAATAACCATTTTCTGAGAAGAAAAGTAATAATTTCCTCTAGAATCAAATTCCAAAAGCTTATAATATCTTAAATAGCCTTTATTTTTATTAGTGCCAACGCAATGCCTTTTAGGTCTTCTAAATGCTTCTGAACGTACAGACAGACAGCAAATACGAAATAAGAATGAATGTATTAATGCATGGAAGCCAATTAGATTTAATAGTGCGTCCAGCGTGGTGGTTGGGTGTGTGGAGGATAGGGAAGGGAAGAGAGGTGGGAAGGCAATGAGTGAGTCGGGATAGGTGAGTTGGGTGTGCGAGGAGAGAAGACGGAGAAGAAGCGGGCAGACGGTCTATGATCGGCTGAGGTGAGGAGAGGTAGAATGGAGTAGGTGAGGTGAAGTAGGAAGGTGCGGTGAGCTGAGGTGGAATGAGGTACGGTTGGGTGGGGTGAAGAGAGGTCAGGCGGTTGTGACGTCAAGAGCAGCGCCTGCCCCACCCCCAAGCGCCTGTGGCCGCCTCTTCTGGCCTCGCGACATGCCCGACAAGAGCACACTCCGGCCGAGGCGACTTGTTTAGGCAGCCACTGCTCAAAACGAAATTAAGCGCCAGCCAGGAAGTGGCTCTTGTTAATGTGTTACGTACGCCAAACATTTCTTGAAGACAAACAACTTAAGTGAACGAAATTTTGTACACGTTTTCTCCACATATTCACTCTAAACACAAAACAAATCAAACAATTTACCAAATACACTTTTAAG